ACTGGTAATAGCTAGCTTTGGCCTTGATCATCATCTGCTGGGTGGAGATCATCTTTTTCCTGTGTTTACACTTTTCCTTCAGTAACTTGATCTCAGCCTGCTTGGTGAGGAGTTTCCTGCTCTGCTCACAGTCCTCCTGGCTCAGGCACGGCTGCTCCTCCAGGCTGTGCAGCTGCGTGGTGAGGGACTCCTGCGAGAGCTGCAGGAAGGTGATGGTCACCTGCTCCAGGCGAAGAAGCTTCAGCGGCATCGGGTCCACCTGGGACTGGCAATGTGGGCACTTCTGGTCCTCCAGCTTGTAGGTGATGTTCATGATGTCTTCCTACAGGGTGAGCGCGTCCACGGCCGCCGCCACCTGGCCCACGTGCATGACGCTCAGCTGCCATCAGTCCATACTCTCTAGCAGCAGCCGGAACTGGAAAAAGGGCAGGTGGCACGATGCTGCGCTGGATTGGGGGTGTGGTGGGGGGAAGGCCATGGCTGCCACGGGGGCTGCGGGGGCATCAAGACCCTCGAGGCTGCTGGAGAGTGGGTAGTCGACTTGCTTCTGGAAGGGCATGATTGGCAGCACATCGGCCCCCTCTGCAGGCATCGGAGGGGACTGCCTCTTCTACCCCTGCAGCCGCTGCCCCAACCCCTTGGGAGCAGGAGAAGGCCGGGTCCTTGGAGGAGGCAGAAGCCCCTGCCTAACTTCCCAGCCTTCAGGCCGTTGCTATGACAGCGTGGAGGCTATCCAGCAGGACCACCCAGGGCGCTTACAAACTTGTATGGCAAGTTGACAACTTGAGATTCTGGTATTGTCTCTCCCTAAACACAGTACCGCTCTTCCTAGTGTTCTTGTACCGGGCATCAGACAACATGTTTAATTATAGAAAATGATGAGAAAGAGCTATATATTATGAATTCCATTTTGCTCAAGGTTTTGTTATAACTTGTGAAAGAAATGGAAGTAACATAATTGAATAGTTAAATCACTTACTGTTCTAGTGACCTGGAGTCAACACTGTTTCTTTATTACATTGTTTTATTGTCTTTAACACACTTTTTCCCTATAAAAGTAGGTTTTAATGGGAAAATGGTCACAATATGGTAGAAATAGTACTCAAAGTTTAGCTGGTGAATAAACTTTTAACTANCATAGTTAAAATGGCCATATTGCCCAAAGCAATATACAGATTTAATGTAATCCCCATCAAAATCCCAATAGCATTTTTTAAAGAAATAGAACAAAAAAAATCATCAGATTTGTATGGAATCACAAAAGATCCCGAATAGCCAAAGCAATTCTAAGAAAAAAAAAAATAAGGCTGAAGGTATCATACTCCCTGACTTCAAGTTATACTACAAAGCAACAATAATCAAAACAGCACAGTATTGGCGGGAAAACAGACCAATGGAATAGAGTTGAAACCCAGAAATACATCCAAATATATATGGGCAGATAATTTTTGACAAAGGAGCCAAGAACATACAATGGAGAAAAGAAACCCTCTTCAATAAATGGTGCTGGGAAAATAGAAAAACCACGTGCAAAAGAAAGAAACTAGACTTCTATCTCTCACCATATGCCAAAATTAACTCAAAATGGATCAATGACCTAAACATAAGACCTGAAACAATAAATTTCATAGAAGAAAGCATAGGTACTAAACTAATGGACCTTGGGTTCAAGAGGATTTTAAGAATTTGACCTCAAAGGCAAGGGAAGTAAAAGCAAAAATAAGTGAATGGGATTATATCAAACTAAAAACCGTTTGCACAGCAAAAGAAAACATCAACAAAACAAAGAGGCAACCAACCAAAAGGGAGAAGATTTTTGCAAATAACACCTCTGATAAGAGGCTAATATCCCAAAATATAGAACTTGTACAGCTCAACAACAAAAAACAACAAACAAGCCAATTAAAAAATGGGCAGAGTACCTGAACAGACANACCAGATGAATTATTATTAGAATGAATTTGAAAGAGTGGATATAAAAATCTAGTAAGAAAAATTAGGTTTCACAGCCCAGTTCGTAACAGCATTAATTCCAAATCTGGTACTCTCATCCATCACAACAAAAAAGGATATACCAAACTTAAAGTATATCAAGCATATCCTAGAGAAATGTGTGCTTTCACACCACATATGAGGATTACTTAGCCAACATATGGACCTCAAAACTCGAAGCACTGTGAGAGAAGAGCAATAAACCAGTATTAAAGCTCTGCAACCTCATTGATATGAGAAATAAAGGATGTATGCAATGCTAGTTTTAACTATGGGTGGTCTATGTGTCACATTTCAAGCAGATAACTATTTACTGTCTATGTAATACAATGCCAACACAAAGTGTCTTTTTTTTTTGGCTCCTATGTATTGCTTAAAACAGCCACAACTACACTTAACAGACAGCTCTCTCCTCCCCCCCCCCAAAAAAAAGCCTCAGAAAACCCAATAAACCTTTGTTTTTCTTTAAGAAAGGACAATCCATCTTAAGTATTACAAAAGTAATATGAAACTTAATAATACTAGTATATGTTGCAGAGTCCAAAAGACTTGATAAAATAATGAGTTAAGACTGAGAACAGATAAAAGTGTCCATTTAGCCAAATGAAGCTGGTATTAAATGTTTAATAGCCTGTACATAACCTTGAGCAGTAGAACCCAATGACTGGGATATAAGCACTTAAGGAGATATGAATCTAGCTCAATGTTTGTCAGAAAATATTGCCAAAGTTTCAAGTCCTAGTGGAGAGTGTTAAAACACTCCTTGGCCCTGAATCAGAAAATGATTCTGGTGGAGCTGATCCAAAAAAGCTAACTGGAGTATGACTGGCAAACTTAGGTGACTTGAATTTGGCCTGAAAAATCCAAGTTCCAGGAAAGAAGCTGGCTATTAAATGGGTTGTTACGAACTTCTGACAGTTTATTTTGCAATCATTTAATTGCAAAATAATTTTCCAATTAACTTTACCATTAAATAAAACAAAATTAAATTTAAATATCAACAAGAATAATAAAGTCTGTACTCTATTCTTACAATTTTAAGAGCTAACATTTGTCAACCACTGGCGTAAGCACTTTACATGTATTCTCAAATCCTATAAAATTGGTAGTATGGTAACCCCCATTATACAGGTGAGAAAACGGACACTCAGAACAAGTAAATAATTTAACCAAGATCACACATTTGGCAAGTAGCAATATCTGGGATTACTGGACCACCTTCTACTCTCTTCCTGTCTGTACAGAAACACAGAGGCAAAGGGGGATGGGGGCTGAGGAGCTGAAATTGACTTCCAAGTGTATAAACTACAGTTCCATAGCTTTTAGAGCATCTTCAAACTACTAAGTTCACATGTAGCCTGAATTTTAAAATGTGTAAAAATGACTGATGCATGTTACACACTAAATAAGTATATTTGTTGAAAGAACTGTGAGGTGAAATAAAAGATGGGGCCCTCTTCTGTATCTAAAACGTAGTGGACAAGAACGTTTATCCAATTGTTTTGTTTTTAATGAGTAACACTGATAGTCTTCTTAAATAGAGACTGCTAAACAAGATAATTACATTCTGTATACTGACGTCATTACCTAAACTGAATAGGATGGAAATACAAATATTTTAGAGTGTACTGCCATTCATCAATATTAAAAGGAATCACACCCAAAATAATTTGTGAAAATATGCTGCAAGCTATCCAAAACATAAAATAAATGTATGTATAATAGAATTCAAGATCAAGTTTATATTGTAAATAAAAAATGGCAATTAAATTTTGTTGATCAATGACTGGAATACCATTTCAAAGAACAATATTTAACCTGGAATTTTGTATTTTCCTCCTCAGGATAATCAATGAAAAAAGTTATGGGTTGCTTCCTTAGATGTCTTGCACTTTTATGAATGACTCTCAGAGCACATTAGTTATATGAGTACTCTGCAAATTTTTTATAATATGCATATTTTATATTGTTAATATTTCTTATAGCTCCAGAAGTGAAATAT